AAACAAACTGCAGATTACCTGAATGTGCACTTTTAAGTCATCGGACCTCCAAGTATCTTCTTTTGTTATTTTCTTATGAGAGGACGGGGAAAATGTGTTACAGCAAATGTGTTACAACTGTACAGAATGAAGCTCATGACTCGATTACCTAACATAACTAACGAAACACTGCTTGCTTACAAGTTGATTCTTTACATACCAAGTGTTCATATAATGAAGTGACAGTTTGCTATTGAAATAAAGAGATTTAACTAAAGTATGTAACATAAACAGTTTTATTTGGCTATCGATGAGTGGCTAATCGTGCTGTTTAGCTGTAACATTTGGTCGCTACACAACAGCTGCTCCAAACGTAATAAGCTTTGCTTTACCTTCACATGGTACATCACTTCAGTGATCTTCTTCTTACTAATCCTTTTCAATCCAACAATCACAAGTTTATGTTGACAGCTTTCACCGCCATACCGCTATATGGCTAAGCGCACGCGCAGTTTAATACTACTATGGTAACCTGCCAAGCCATGGTAACAACAGACTATTAAATCGAGCAAAGAGCAATCGCTCGACACAAATGTTACTATGGCAACACTGTCGAATTTAGATAATAATCGAAAAAGATGAGTTTAACAATGTGACATAGCACACAATAAAATATGACAGTGCTTGCTTTGTACTATACAGATGCCTATATCTGCAATAATTGCCTACTTGTTAAGATAAATTAGTATATGTTGACGTATATATAATTTTTTAAGTCGTCCTCTTGATCTATCATTAGTAGGATGTTTCCAAAAAAAATTATGGAGTTCCGTTTGTGCCAAAAAGTGTTGACCTTTGTCTATTGCTGAATTCGGAACCATAGATAGATAGATAGAACGATAGATACATAGATAGATAGATAGATAGATAGTTTTTTTGTTTTGCAATTTTAATCCCGTCTGAATCAGCCACATCTGTGTTTTTGTCACACAACCTCTGTAATAATTCCAGGACATATTACAGGATATTACCTACTGTTTTTCAGCAAACTCAGTGATCAATTCCATCCAAATGCGAATGTCTGTGATTGCTGACAATATTTTTTTCACAACACGTTTCCTTGTGTGTTTTATCCAACGTGAACTACCGTAGACGCTCTTACTACTGCACGCATTTTTTATATGTTTGCCTCCCGGCAAAGAAATTAAAAAATAATAAGAAGAAAATCAAAAGCCAGATTACGTAAACTGTTAAGACTGGCAACTGTAATATCAGCGTCAGGTAAGATTACTCACCTTCATTTCTGTACTCAATTAGATAATGTTCATACCTTTACGAAAATTAAACATGGTTTTACTACAAATAAAAAATAAATTAGTTAAACTAAAGTAACCACAAATTAACCATGGTTTTGCTATACTAGTTACTATGGCAACACTGTCGAATTTAGATAATAATCGAAAAAGATGAGTTTAACAATGTGACATAGCACACAATAAAATATGACAGTGCTTGCTTTGTACTATACAGATGCCTATATCTGCAATAATTGCCTACTTGTTAAGATAAATTAGTATATGTTGACGTATATATAATTTTAGTCGTCCTCTTGATCTATCATTAGTAGGATGTTTCCAAAAAAAATTATGGAGTTCCGTTTGTGCCAAAAAGTGTTGACCTTTGTCTATTGCTGAATTCGGAACCATAGATAGATAGATAGAACGATAGATACATAGATAGATAGATAGATAGATAGTTTTTTTGTTTTGCAATTTTAATCCCGTCTGAATCAGCCACATCTGTGTTTTTGTCACACAACCTCTGTAATAATTCCAGGACATATTACAGGATATTACCTACTGTTTTTCAGCAAACTCAGTGATCAATTCCATCCAAATGCGAATGTCTGTGATTGCTGACAATATTTTTTTCACAACACGTTTCCTTGTGTGTTTTATCCAACGTGAACTACCGTAGACGCTCTTACTACTGCACGCATTTTTTATATGTTTGCCTCCCGGCAAAGAAATTAAAAAATAAGAAGAAGAAAATCAAAAGCCAGATTACGTAAACTGTTAAGACTGGCAACTGTAATATCAGCGTCAGGTAAGATTACTCACCTTCATTTCTGTACTCAATTAGATAATGTTCATACCTTTACGAAAATTAAACATGGTTTTACTACAAATAAAAAATAAATTAGTTAAACTAAAGTAACCACAAATTAACCATGGTTTTGCTATACTAGCCATAGCTTAACCATGGCATTTGTAGTAAACCTCTGGTTATACTAATGATAATCAATCCGAATGACAAAACAAGCCCAGATGTACAAATCAGACCCTCCCACCTCTGTAATAAACATGGAGATGTTAGTCCCGTCCAAATTGGTACATGAAAATCACAGATGTGACAAAAATCGAAACTCAAACATAATTTAGAAAACTAGCTATGTCCGAATAGGGCTTGTACAGGTGTCAAACTCAGTTCATGGAGGGCCACAGCCCTGCAGAGTTTAGTTCCAACCCTGCTCCAACACAACTTGTAGATTTCAAATAAGCCTAAATGACTTGATTAGCTGGATCAGCTGTTTAATTACAGTTGAATCTAAACTGTGCAGGGCTGTGGCCCTCCAGGAACTGAATTTGACACCCCTGATCTTAGTGTACTCAAATGTGCTATTTTGGGACACCATGAATATTAACTAAAATGTGCTTTTAACATACTTTCTCTGTATTAAAAAATTTATTTAGTCACCACTTTTAGTAGGCTACTGAAAGAACCCATCTTTCAAACACTAGTGGGTTCAAGTGTACAGTAATACAAGTGGTAATACATTTTTTTAATACAGCATGTTAAAAGCATTAAAAGCATGTTAAAGGGGTCTTATGATGTTGCTAAAAAGAACATTATTTTGTGTATTTGGTGTAATGAAATGTGTTTATGCGGTCTAAGGTTAAAAAAACACATTATTTTCCACATACTGTACATTATTGTTTCTCCTCTATGCCCCGCCTTTATGAAACGCGTCGATTTTTACAAAGCTCATCGGTCTGAAAAAGCGAGGTGTGCTCTGATTGGCCAGCTATCCAATGCGTTGTGATTGGCCGAATACCTCAAGCGTGAGACGGAAATGTTACGCCCCTCACATACCGTGTCCGGCCGGAGCGACGAGACATAAACATTAAAACCCATTACAAACGAAGCATTTGTTGCATCCAGTGGGGACATAAATACGGATTATAATGACTTATACTGTCTTTTCACGCGTTGCGTTGC